GTTAAAACCGGTAAAAAGGACTACTTCTAAACGGTAATAACAACCATATTGGTCTAATACGCACAAAAAAAACCTTAGTGACCTAATACGGACAAACTGGAAACCTAATTACCCTCCTAAGTCATTAACCCTAATTATTTAGAAAACATGCTTACTAATCAATGTGACTGATTTGTTTGACTGAAAATAGTTGCTGCCATTTAAACTTATCTCACAACCCTCCAGAACTTCTAAGTCCAAAAACTCATATGATTGATGATCTTCATTACATAAATATGCAACATTTTATCAATAACTTCTTTTTTGTCATTTAAATGTTTACATGAACACATCCATATGTACAAAAACAATCTCACTTTGATACCTCTCATCAATGTCTACATTTGATAACAAATGGAAATGTAAAACCAATAGGGACTTGCAGAGAATGTCTATTATCAATTATTTTATAAAAAGCAAAACCAAAACATGAACTAAGAAACTAAAGTTGCAAAATGAATAAAAAAATCAGCACATAAACAAATACATACATACTATATACAACACATAAACGAAAGTTTATAAAGCATGAAACTTAATGACATGAAAAGTAAAAAACTTAAAGGAGACTTTATAGAAAGAAAGATCACCCTTACTTGCCACAAATGGTTGAAGACATCAACAAGAAGATCAATCTGACCATAGAATCCACATGTTGTATGATCATCACTTCAGTAGATGAACTACTAAAATGTAAGAATTGCAATTGAACTCTATTAGCATTTGAAAAGGGAATTAGGGTTCCAGAGAAGACGCGAGTTAAAAAAATTTGGGACCATTTCTCGATTTGTGTGTGTCATCCTTGTGCAGGGGCCATGCTAATCTTCTTTGTATCGTTCCAATTTTATCGGATGTCCCCAAAGGGACGACTATAGATGAAGAGCTTCACCATATAGAGGAGTAGCTGGTTATATGGGACGACGCGAGTTCTAAACGAAGTAGTTTATTGTTGATGGTCATATATTCTCAATGTCTTTAAAATTAGGGTTAATGACTTAGGAGGGTAATAAGGTTTCCAGCTTGTCCGTATTAGGTCACTAAGGTTTTTTTTTGTGCGTATTAGACCAATATGATTGTTATTACTGTTTAGAAATAGTCCTTTTTACCCGTTAAAACCGGTAAAAAGGCTATTTTTAAACGGTAATAACAACCATATTGGTCTAATACGCACAAAAAAAACCTTAGTGACCTAATACGGACAAACTGAAAACCTTATTACCCTCCTAAGTCATTATCCCACTACTTAATCATATCCTGAAAAGTACAATGCTATTTGTTTAGTTATTTACTCAATTCCACCATTAACTACTTTATGTCCCTCTTAATTGATTTTATAAAAGTACAATGCTATTATTTTTCATTTACTTATACAAAACTTTATGGGCAAAAATAGCAATGTACAATATTTTTTCATCGGTTTTCGTTTTTACAAACATGATTATCCTTAAATGCCTGCATCATCACATAAAACCATACTTTGAAATTTAAAGGTTAATTTAGCAACTATTAAATATTAAATACATGTTTAACTAAAAGCCTTAGCCACTTGGACCTTAGTATACAACATAAGATTTTCACAATGGGAACTTTTCTTTGAACTTCTCATTCTATGCTTTTTTCTGTTTACGATAACCATTTTTATTGCATCAATATATTTCCCCAATAACTAAACTATTTTCAAGTTTTCAAAATAATAATAATAACAATAATAATTAAAATCCTAAAAAATGGTTTGAGGTATGAAAAAACTATGCCCATAATTTTTGAAAAAGGTAGACAACCCTTTTATTTTTCTTCTTCAGAAAAAGCATCACATTGCAAACGTCTTCATAGCCGTTGGGCAAGTAATTTCTCCAACTAGCCGTTATCAAACAAACGGTCGTCAATGCGTTTTGTATCTGTATATACACACACACACCAAACCCTTCTATTCAATACCATCTAACTTCTCCTCCCATCACCGCTAGTGTAACTACATCGCCACCAACACCGCCACAGCTCCCCGGAAAACTCAGACAACAAGTTTAAGCAAATGGGTCTCTCAAGCGATGCTCAATCACACTACAAGACACACAAACTCTTCCTCATCAGCAATTACATCTTACTGGGAGCAGCCTCCAGTTGCATCTTCCTCACACTCTCCCTCCGCCTTCTCCCCTCCGTCGCCGGCGGACTGCTTGTCCTCCTCCACATCATCACCATAGCCGGAGCCATTTCAGGCTGCAACGCGGTGTCGGCCGGGTCAAGCAAGTGGTACGCAGCCCACATGGTGGCGGCTGTCCTCACCGCGATTTTCCAGGGATCTGTATCTGTACTGATTTTCACGACGACTTCGAATTTCTTAGCGGCGTTGAAGTCGTACGTGAGGGAGGACGATGCGGCGGTGATATTGAAGATGGCCGGTGGACTCTGTGTTTTGATGTTCTTTATGGAATGGTTGGTTTTGACACTTGCTTTCTTCTTAAGGTATTATGCTTTTGTTGACGGAAACCGGACCACCGGGAAGGTACAGGCGGAGGACGACTCTAAGTGGTGGGCAACACCGTTCCAAGTTTAAGTCATGTGATGAGAAGTAGAAATTAGATAAATTTTTATGTTTTATTTATTTTGAATATTTTGCTTTATTTATTTATTTATTGAATATGATTCATTCGTTCACTAAGAATATTTTATAAAAAAAATATTGTTGATCTCTATATAATTTCTTAATGTTTTTCAATTGGGTTAATGGACACTAATAAGGATTCAATTTGAAACATTTATAATATGAATATCTTACTTTCAAAGAAATAACATTTTTAACGGTAATTTTATATAACTTCATGAGACATATCTGTTCTTTAAAAGTATGCATGTTTCTATGGCATCAATCTGTTGCATGAAAACAAAAAATTTAAAAGTACTTTATTTTTTTAATTACTATAATGAAGTATTAATGCGACACCGTTGCAGTTGGTTTCATTCTTAGGCTCGCAGAAAGCATCGTAGCTCTCTCCTTTGTGTGCTGAATGTTCGACACTACTAAAGTAACATCAAGTTAGTGACATTTGGGTTATAATAATTCATCCCCTTATTTATATATTTTTATGTATGTATGACACCGGGGACTAGTGCTTTAAGTGAAATGAACATGATTTGTTCGTGTTTATTAAGTTTATTTGAACAAATGAACGTAAACGTACACATAAACAAATGATTTTCACTCTTCATAGAAATTCATGTGTAAATAAATGAACGTAAACGTACACATAAACAAATGATTTTCACTCTTCATAGAAATGCATATGTGTAAATAAATGAACATAAACGTACACATAAACAAATGATTTTCACTCTTCATAGAAATGCATATGTGTAAATGAAAGGATATAAACGAATGCTAAACGAGCAAACATAAATGAACCGATAAATAAGGATAAACAACCATTAATATCCAAACAAAAAACCACACATAAGTATATGTATTATAGCAAATCATACGATAAAAAAAAGGGCAAATTGCAAAAACATCAGAATATTATCACAAAATTTTGAATTTGATACCGAGTTTTTTTCTTTTTTTTTTCTTTTTTTTTTTGTAATTATTTCATTATATTTATAATTTATTGCAGTATCAAGCAAATGTCCGGTTCTCCCTATTCTCCTATTAACAATTGAGTAAATTACTGAAATCGTCTCTATGGTTTGGTCAAAATTGTACGTTTGGTTCCTATTTTTTTTTTTTTGCACTCAGATTGTCTGTATGGTTTGATTTTGTTGCGTTTTTCGTCCCTATGATTTGGTAAAAATTGCATGTTGGGTCCCTAACTTTATGTATGTAAGGGAAGAAAAATGCAACAAAATCAAACCACAGGGACGAAAAACACAACAAAATCAAACCATAGGGACGATCCGAGTGTAAAAAAAAAGTTAGGTACCAAACGTGCAATTTTAACCAAACCATAAGGACGATTTCAGTAATTTACTCTTAACAATTTTTCTTGAATTGCATTCAAGTCACTATATCTAAAATTACGATTTTGACATTGTTTTTTTTTCTCAATTATGTCACTATATTTACAATATTGTTGTAAATATTGTGACCGTCACCATCAATCTAACACGTTACCAAATAAATGATATGACAATATTGTGACGTAGAAGCCACATCACACATCTGTCTCTTGGCGCGTTTAATTAAATGCATCTGACACCACACGTCCAACATTGCATGCACGACAAAACGCAACACGACCTTTAAGAGTTCATGAGGTGATGATATGTTTCATTATTGTACACATAGAGAGAGAGAGAGAGAGAGAGAGAGATTACTAAGTAAACTTAAGGTATCGTCTTATCTCGTTATTATGTAATTATTTTTTTGTAGCATGATTACAAAAGGTCTTAGAACCCAAGATAAATGTTAATGTTTATAATATAGAGTTGTTATGAACATAGTGAAAAGCTTAATGATTTTAGCCACATAATTGATTATTATGTATAAGATAGAATTATAGACTCGAACACATAAAAGAGATATCTTGAGTTGTGATATTCAAGAACTATGTGTTATTTTGACAAGATAAAACTGCACAAATGGTCCCTGTGGTTTACACAAAATTGCCACTTTGGTCTAAAAAAGTTTTGGCTAGCACCACAAGTCCAAAGTTTCCATTTTCTTGCATATTTGGTCCAATGGGTTAACTTCCGTCTGTTTCCCTCTGTTAAGTTATGTTTGACTAGTCAAATCAGGGGTATTTTGGTCATTCCCTATTTATGCCCTTTATTTTATATTAATAAAGGAGAGTTCGTATGTATGCATTGCCATACGGATAATATCGAGCCTAATTCGCATTTATAGTCCTTAAAAACCGTGAGTCGATACAATTTCCCTCCTCATTGACTGAGGATCAAGAACCCTAAACTGATTAACAAGGTTGATAGCTTCAATCAGGCAAGTTTCGTAGTGAATGCATATACCAATGTGGCACTTAAGGTTGTCAAGCACGTCATTCGACCCAAGGGTGGTTTATGGTACGTAATTTTGTTTTTGATCATTTTGTTGATTTTCTTACAAGAAATCATACCTTCTGAAGTTTTTTTTTTTTCTCTTATGTTGAAGATGGACACCCTACATTGTTTACCATCAAGCTACATCATGGAGGTGAGTTCACAAAGTTTCCAAATGTCAACTACATTGAGGGTACTGTGACGTATGTAGATATGGTGGATATAGAAGAGTTTTCTATTCACGAGATGGATGCGATTATGAAAGGGTTAGGATACTCAGTTCCTCCAGTTATCTACTATCATTTTCGAGTGCCAAAGGGAGACATGCATTTTGGGCTACGGGCCCTAGGAAATGATGATGATGTCTTCAATCTTTCCCAGTATGTGAAGGAGCATAAACTGATAAGGGTTTACACCGAGCATGGTATTACTAACTTGCTTACTTACTTTATGGCTCCTAAACCTGTAAGAAGAGTTATTATTGAGCAATTAGAGGAGATCGATGAACATCAAACCCCCCCAACTAATAACCAACCCAGTGGCATGCCACAAACATGCATACCACCTGTGATAGCAAATGAAGCTGCTTTAGCCTTGTCAATATCCCCTGAATATAATAAGAAAAGGGAATTTATCAAGGACAAACCATTGTCATCATGTATTAAGAAATTGGTGATGGATGATGTTAGTGTTGATAGGATTGGTGGGAATAAGGATGATGCAGATAATGAAATTGACCACGGATTTAACGAATTTGATGAGGAATGTAATGATATTAACCAGGATTTTAATGAATTTCATGAGGCATGTAATGATATTAACCAGGGATTTAATGAATTTGATGAGGCAGCTAATGACTTTGATATTGGATTGTACCAACAAAATTTATAGTCTAATGAACAGAATGTAGATGATGAGGTTCATGAAGGTGAGGAAAATACAGTTAATAAGGAAGTCACTGAAGAAGAGAATCACGGCAGAAATGAAATGAATGATGAGAATGTAGAGATGAGAGATTTTGCAGTTGATGATGGAAGTGAAGATACCATAGAGATTGATGAAGACAATACTGAAAGAAGTGATGAGAGTGAGGACAGTGATGATAGTGATTTCTGGGTGGATGAAGACAACATCATCCCTGATGTAGAAGTAGATATGAGGGATTTTTACATGAATATAGATCTTAAAGCAGAATTTCTTGAAAAAAGATTACCAAAGCATAGAGAGAATGACAGTGATGAGGTCAATGAAGAGTTGGATGTTATAGATAATGATCAATGGGATTCATTGGATGAGGGTTCTGATATAGATAGGAAAAGAAGAGCTGTAATAAAGGAATTGGGGAAGGAGACTAGGTGCTCTCAAGGTGAGATACACAAGGTAACTTTTAGGATAGGACAAAAATATAAAAATAAGAAGGAGTTAAAGGAAAAGATACAATTGCATGCACTGGAAACAAGAAGGAATATATTCTTTGTGAAAAACGACAAAATGAGGTTAAGGGAAATCTGTAAAGGAACTGTGGCCTTTAATGATGGTCATGTCGGTGAACCTACCCCTTGTCGTTGGGTGATACTGTTGGATTAGTGTCTAAGTCCATAACTATTTTGGTATGTACTTGACCCGATGGTGCATGGTCTTTTTGGGTTGCCTTCACCAAAGCAACTTGATTGGAGAAATGAATAAAGAGAGAGAGGATAATATGATTTATTAATATGTTATAAGAATAATATATTAAAGGAGAAATCATATTTGTTTAATTAATATTGGTCAATAATTAATTAAGAATTAGTTTTGTGATCAAATGTAATTAATTAAACTAGAGGGGTTGATTTGTAATTATGTGATAGTTACAAAATAAGGTAAGGATTATCTTATTTATATGGTGGACGAATTTAAGGTTGGAAAGCCTTAGAATTCGAGTATGATAAGGATTCAAGGATTATCTTATTGGTTGCTTAATGGATAATCAACTAGATAAGGATAATGACTGAAACCCTATCTCTACACCTATATAAACACCCCTAGGGTCATGAATTCGTGTATCCCTTCCCAAGAGGTCCTAGATACGAATTCTAACCTCTCACCTCTCTCTTTATACCTTCTCCATTTGCTTATGGTGTTTGTAAGCCATTAGAGGAGTGACACTTGTGACTCTAAGCATTCCAAAGTCAATCCAAGGTAGAGTTGTGATTGTTATTGCTATATAACAATCAAGGTATGTTCTTAAACCTAATTATATGTTAATGTCGATTTCCATATGTTAGAATTAGGGTTTATAGTCTTGGATTCAAAGCATGTACAATAGAGAAACCTAGATCCAAGCATTAGGGTTTGTATGAGCACATAGGATGTTTTATGACCAAAACCCATCAGTGGTATCAGAGCCTAGCTTGGTTTCAATTGTATTGATGCATTGTATAACTGGAAAATCATTTTTTGGGCTTTATAGCTGAGGAACTCGGCGAGTACCACAATGTACTCGGCGAGTAGACCTCAACTCGGCGAGTACAGTGCGGTACTCGGCGAGTTCGAGCGTCAGATAATGCTTATCTCGGGATTTCTTGCTGTTTTTGCATATGGATAGTTACCTTATCATGTTAGATCAATATAAATCCGATTTTATGATATATATGACTATATTCTTGATCTAATTAAAGATAATTATCAATTAACAAGATAATTGTTTCCTTATAAGATAACTGATTAATTATTTTGAGTAAATTGATAAATTGTTTTGCAAGAAATCATTAAATAAATCAAATATGGATAATTATGTGATTAAATGTTAATTTAAAATTATTTGTTATTTGATCCTTGTTGTTATGAAAGGGTTTCATATTTTCCCCTTTAGGTTTTATAGTTTAAATTTGAACCCAAAAGTTTTGGAGTTTTGAAATTTAAATAGTTAAAACCCTAATGTTTTGAAAAAGGTTTCAAAACTTGCCCTCAAGTTTTGGAATTTAAAAGTTGATTAAAAGTTTAATTAGAAATGTTAAATTCTAAAACCCTAGTAATGTTTTGAAAAGTTCAAATCACACCCTTATGGTTTTATTAATTAATTAAGGAGTATAATTAAAAGAGGTTTAATAAATCCATAAAAGTTTAGGTTAACCATTTAATTGAATTAAAAGTGTAATTGTTAAAGTTAACCACATAGTATTTTAAAAGTATAAAATACACCCTATACTATATATAACATTAAAAGTCTAACATTATATATATGTATGAGTAAAAGTCAGTCTTACCGTTAGTAGGCCTCATTCACGAAGCTGGTCTATAAGGGGTGTTTAAGGAAATTGCCTATAAAATGGCGATTGAATGGGTATCCACTCTTACCCACCGCACTCTTGACTAGTGGAGGGTCGTTAGCCGAACGGGTAGGATAGGACGAAACCTTCCATTATAAGTATAATGAAATACAAAGTAACTAAATGTTTTTCAAATTCCCAATCTTAGTTACTTAGGCAAAAGTGAATTGATGCAATTCCATGAAATTACACTTTGTGCCCTTGCGAAGACGTTAGTGGAGCGTGTGTGGTTTACCGGCACACTAAATGGTTCTAAGCAAAGGTAGCAAAGGGTGACTCAATGTTTGTCATAGTTCGGTGGAGCGTGTGTGGTTTACCGGCACATCGAATAGGTGATTGTAACATGTGAGGGCACCATGTAGTTTGCATGGTTATTCACACCCGCTTTGTGATCCTCGGCATCCCAGTCACAAACAAGAGGGGCATATCGAGATTTAAACATGCCATTGAAATGTTCAATGAATCTCAAAGGATCTAGGAGTTTTCATAGATTTAAAACTTAAATTTCTTTTTCGTTTTTCATGGTGGAAATTAGTGAATCGTCATTCACTTACCTTCAAATGTTCTGCAATTTGGGTTACGGCATCCCTCTCCCGAGTTGTAGGATATTGTGTTGGGTCCTAGCCTTGGAATTTCATTTGGGTGATTTACCAAGGACTCAATCAATCAACTAACTTGAATTCGTTTTTCTCCCGATGTCAAAGTTCGACAACTATGGTCTTCTCAAATCCCGTGGAACAAGCATTCCACATGAAGATGATATTCCACGATTCGATCGAGGAACAAGAAATCATGCTTCACTTCCTCCTCCTCCAATTATTCTCCCTAACCCACAAGATTGTAAAATTGAAAGGTTCAATATCACTCAAGCCCTTTTGGCAAGTAAACATAAAGAGGGCAAGTCGGTGTGTGCACACGTCTTAGGGATGAAGTCACACATTGATAGTTAAGAATGATGGGATCCGTTGTCGGTGAAGAGATGGCTGTTGATTGGGTTCTTCAGTCACTTCCTAACTCATATAGTGAGTTCGTAAGAGAGTACTATATGATGAACCGCGACGTGACCCTTATAGATCTCACCTACATGCTTATTGCTGCTGAATCAACAATGGTTTGGCGCAATAGAAAAGCAAAGTTGATTGGTGAATCTGCCTTCAAGACCTCTATGGATATAGACAATGGCAATGAAAGACATGCAATGATCGAAAAGTTTGATCATAAGAGAAAGGCGATGTCTGAAGTAGTTCCATGTGTTGTTCCAAAGGAGTCAATTTGCTTTTATTGCCAAGAGAAGGGCATTGGAGACGAAGTTGCCCTATTTACCTAAGAGATCTAAGAGATGGGAGAGTCAAAAGTATGACTACGCTTTAGGTAAGAATCCACTATCTAACTCCATTAAGTTCCTATTCATTGATTCTTAATACATGATGTGATAAGATTGCATTTGAATGTTTTGAAGGATCGGTGAAAAGAAAGGAAGCTTGATAAGAGAGCAAGATGAATCTAATCACAAGAGATGGATCTGATCGCATGGACTTGAAGATTGGATTTTGAGCTTAGATAGTTATGATAGAGTTGTTAGAAATTTTCTTTTTACATAGTTTTCAATAGATTTTGCATTGTAAGGACAAATGTTTTTCCGCTGCTTTTATAAATAAAATAAATTTTGTTTGACTTATTTATTTGTTTACTTCCTTGCAATGAAATCGTTATGTGAAAATTGATGTTTGCATATTTCTACAACGAATGGATATGATTCTTAGTTATGTTATTTATGGAAATGTCAAGAATTTACCAAATAGGGAGAGTTTCTCATCGCCCAAGTTTCAATTGGACAGAAACTTGGAATCATGCAACGTGGATGCACGATGAATGAGAAATTACGTATTTGGAAATTAGACTAATTCATTGACAAAGTGTCAAGTGAAGGACTAGGAGATCGAGTACACAAAGTTGTGTGTTGATCAAGTTCACCATAAGAGTAACAAAGATATTCGTCATGATTTACTAAAGGCTTAGTAAATATGATTACACTTACAAGATTAAGTGTAATTTTGAATTGATTAAAGGGTTTAGATCAATAGCAAAACGAATAAGAAGAATCAAGTAGGCAGAAAGATAAGAGTTTCTCCATTCTAAGAAGAAGGGAGAGTAGCTTTTATGCTTTATGATAGGTCTTAATGATTAAGAACCATATCTCAATTGATCCTCTAATGAGTCTTGGTACAATTGTATGTCCAAGAAGAGGAATCAAAGATTGAAGAAATGGTCAAATCAAGAAGTCAATCATACTTCGTTCCAAAACAAGTCTTAAAGTCAAGATTGTGACATTGAGTGAATAGTATTAAGAAGGTTTATAACATTCATCAATTGTGGAAAGTTGTGATGTCTTGGATAAGACAAAGACCAACTAAGACCAAAATTATGAAGTGTTTTGTTTTGATAAAGCTACACTAACTCTTGAATATTTGTTTGTCAAGAAATGTTTTGATAAGAGAATCGTATATGTCAAGGAGTCAGTGGGAGTCTTAATAGTCTTGAAAAGTTTCAAGAACAAATCAAATAAACCTTATCGATCATCACTAGCACACGAGTTGAGGTTTACAACCTATCGTGAAGACATTATTTTGTTTCTGTGCCAATCCAATCGAGTTAATTATGCATGTGAGTCCTATGAGTTCTCATTTGAATGCATAAAAGGCAAGGACCTTGATCAATGGAAAGTACATTGATAGGAAAAGGTGAGCTGCTTAACTACTTGGAAGACGTGGTGGGCAGCTGTGCTACCATAAGGCAAGAAATCAAGATTAAGAAAGTTCGATCCATATGAGTTTGAATTTGTCGTAAACTTTGGTTTTAACAAATTCACATGGATAGGAACACATACACCGTTTAAATCTAAGTGTCATAAGATTTCCTCCTTCATGAAAATGATTGTGAGAAAATGCTTTCACTAAGAAAGATTTTAAAAGATAGTGATTGTAAAATTGCATTCTCGAATTCGATCATGGTTACGGCATCCCTTTCCATAATTTGAATTGTGAGGTTTGGCAATTAGTCTTAATTGTTAAGACACACATATGAACTATCTAAGGCAAAAGTGTATAAGTTCAAGAAGCCTTGATAAAAGATTATCAAAGCACTAAGTATTAGAAACATGAACTTAAGAAATTCAATAAGTATTGTTTTTCTGAAAGTTAAGATGTTTATATGAATACATGTC